TCCTTCCCTTTTACAAATGTAAATATTAAGAATTTCCATTATGAGACTTCTAAATTTGCAAAAAAACACCATATTATTTTTCTTTAAAAAAAATTCTAGATTGTCTAGTCCTTTCGTTTAAATTCATTATGATATTCGAATACCCTCAAACATCCCCAATATTTATGATGCTATGAGATTTGTCACATTCATTGATGATTGCATTCAAATAATTGGGTATACTTTATCAAACAAAAATCTTATGTCAACGTCATCATTTTCACTTTCACTGACATGATAAAAAATCATTAAATATAAATATAAAAATGTTTTGAAATGATAATGTTCTTAATTATTTTAATCACATCCTTCTTACATAAAGAGAATATTATCCACTAATCATAATGTCTTGAGACTCCCCAATAAAATAGTGGCAAAAAAATATGTCATTTTCTAGAAGTTACTAGAGCTATTCTCCTCTAGAATCAAGTACCGAAATTATATTAGAGAGAAGTTGCTCTAACTATTACTTAGCTAATCAACAAAATACCACCAAATGTGATTGACTCCATAAATCCCTTATTCTCAAAGATTTCCCTAAAAGTCATTGAGTGCATTACATGTGTTCATATCCACAAACAATACATAAGAAAATTACATTAAAGTGCTATTAAGTGTGTGTTCATTGGGTACTCCCCGACTCAAAAAAGATACAAATCTCATCACCCATCACAACAAAATTCTATACCGACGCCACAATTGATGAAATACAATTTTTTTTCAAGCTCATTTTCGAGAAGAGAATGCCGACTGAATGAAAGTTTGATAAAACATCATTCATCTTGACATCATCACAACCCAAAATCCAACAAATTCTAATGTTGTACATGTTCAAGTCTACAAGAATAAATAAACCCAGTCTGAATCTCCAGCAAACTCAAGCCTTAGCATCGTCATCAGTTAACAATGATCATCCCATCACCACTCTTTTATTCTCCATCTCCCAACATATATCCTTTCAATTTTTTTCTTACACAAGGTTTTTCTTACAAATATAAGCTTTAATTCCATTATAATAACACAAGTCCTGTTGGAGGCACTAGAAAATGAAAATTGGAGAGAGGGAGACAATGAGAGAAAAGAAGAATGACCGAAATAAAAACTAAGCTTGGGAGATTGTGGACCTACCCCTAAAGGGAAAAAAAGTCGGGCATAAGTAATTTTGTTTAAAGAATAAACAGATGGCAGTTTGGAATGACAAAAGGCAAGATTAGTAGCCCAAAAATACGCTTAATCCTGCAGAATTGTTTATCAACAAACTTTTACACAAATTGCAGGATAAAAATAAATTGCATTGTGATTCTCTAGCTGCTAATTTTAAATCATCGATGTAATATTATGATAGTGAAAAATATTTTCTTACATGAGAAAATTTTTAAGAAAATGTCTATATATATCCATTAGGACTCCAAAGTGCTTTCACAGATAACAAGGTTTGCAAAATAAAAAATACTCCATATGGAATGAAAAAAAATCAAAGAGCCTGATTTGTCAGGTTTACAAAGGTTAGGATGGGAGTTAGATATAGACAAAGCAAAGGAGATCGTGCACACTTCGTAAAGCACTCCTTCGATGAAAAATTTTCATTTCTCATTATATACATTGACGACAAAACTGTTATAGATGTTGACAATCAAGAGAATGAAATCCTTAGAAAAAAAACTTGCCAAAAAATTTGAAATTAAAGAGCTAGCAAACTCAAATACTTTTTGGGTAAAATTTCCTCAATCTGAACAAGAAATATTTCTCTCCCAACAAATATATGTTATGGATCTAGTAACGAAAATAAACATGAAGTGTAAGACATGTAGAACCATAATTGAATCATACCAGAAATTGGACATAGACAAAGAAGGAACATAAATAAACATGGGACAATATCAAAGATTAATTGAAAAATTAATTTATTAATCTCACACCTGACTTGACATCACATTCACAGTAAGTCGTATCGTTTAGTTTGGGCACAAATCTAAATAATCTCACATTCAAGCTACATACAAAATTTTTAGATAATTTAAACCAAATATAGTGTAAGAAATCTATAAAAAAAGCAAGAAACTCTATAAATTAAAGAATACACTGATACAATCTATGAAGGATCACTTGTGAATAAACAATCCACTTCAAGAGATTGCATGTTATTAGGAGAAAATGTCATAATTTAGATGAGCTAAAAACCACCTGCTATATTAAAATCTAGTGTCGAATATGAATTTAGGACAATTGCCAAAGGATCATGAGAGTTTCTATGAATCAAGGTCATACTGAATGACTTAAAAGTCAAGTAGGAAAAATATATGAAAATATATTGTGATAATAAAACTCTTATTAGTATTGTCACAATCCTGTATAGCATAATCATACACAAAATGTTGAAGTGGATGGACATTTTATAAAAGATAAATTAGAAAATAGATTGGTTTGCACTTTATTTGTTCCAACAGGAAGACAGCTTGGTGATATATTTACTAAAAGGCTCAGTTACCCCACATTCAAGACTATTATAAGCAAAATTGAAATAGTAGACTTCTATCATCCAATTTCAAAAAAAGTGTTAAAAAATTGTCAAATCAATAAGGTCTAGATTAAAAAAAAAAAAAAAGATTCTACGAATTTATTGCTTATAAGAAAATGCTTCTCACAAATTGATATAGAAAAAAGGAAAAAAAGGCCCACGGATTGCTTTATCGGCATTAATTGAATCTCTAAATAATTAAAAGACAAATAACTAAAAGCCATTACTTTTTTTAATTATTATAATCATTTATTTCTTTTTTTTTTATAATTTTATATATA